AGAAATTTACCTCTGCATTTAACCCCTCCCCTTGGGGAGCAGTGGGCTGCCATCATAGGGCGCCCAGGGAGCAGTGTGGGGTTAAGGGTCATGCTCAGGGACCCAGAGTACAGAGTACTACAAAAACAATCAAGAAATAAGTAAACATTTCTTAAATTAAGTGTATTTACCCTTAATTTGAGCAGGTAATTAAGGTAATCTGCCAATGGAGTGAGCATTTTTATTCTTAAAATAAGATAATTAGATAAAATGCACCTGAAATAAGACGATGCAATTGTGTTTTCTTATTTTAAATGTAAATTGTCTTGTTCCATTGGCAAAATGTCTCACTTTCCTCCTAAATTCAAGAAGAAATGCACTTAATCTAAGAAAAACTGACTCATCTAGATTTCGATTTTTTTCCAATTGTTGATCATAGTTAAAAGGAATTTATTTTAACATTTATTTAATGTTAAATTTGCAGCTTTTAAATGAAAACTGCTTTAAAATTTATCTAATTAGAGTTTTTGCTGTTCTACAATAATCTACTAATAAACTGATTTTAATCTGGTTTAAAGGGGCCGATTAAACCAGGGTTTTCACCCTGATTTTATTACAGGGTTATAAAATCAGGCTGATTCCACTTCCATCGCTTACAAACAGCAGCAGATAAACTGATGGGCTAAAAACACGAGACTGAATGAGTGAATAATATAAAACTGTTAATGATCTTAAACTAACATGGAAACATCTTGTTAATTACAGAGAAGAAAAAAAAGCTAAATCAGAAACTATTTGGGAAAAATCTAGAAATATAAAAAAATCATAAGGTTTTACATACAATTTAATAATCACTCATATCTTCTTATTTAAAGATTTGGTCAATAACAAAATGATGTGAATAAAGTATAATTTAAATTGAACATAGTCCCTGTTGGTTTGCAAAGATTCTTTAAACTTCGACAATATTTAAGGGCTAAAAGTATAAAAAAAACATTTTAATTAACCTGGGCTTATTTTTCATGCCTTTTTTTCTTTTTAATATTCATTTTTATTTATCTGTAAATGAATTCTTATATTAAGTAATTATTTGTTTTTTGCCAACATTTTTTTAAATTCAGCGTTCTTGTATGAGAAAGAAAAGTGTTAAAGCCTTTTTTTTCAGCTAGCTGAGCAGCAGTGTGCAGCAGCATGTGGGGGAGGGGCAGTGCCGTGTTATCCTGTGCTCCAAACATTTCCCAGCCTCTCATCTCACAGACAGAGTGTAGAAATTCAGCCCATTGGGCGGTAATGACAGCGGGAGGAAAGTTCCAGATTCCTGAAAGTAGATGATTATATTTCCACTAACATGAAAACAAAAGCAAAGGCAGCTGATTGTGGAAACGGACGTGGAAACAGGAAGTGTTGGCGGTGATTTATTAGCTTGTTGAAGCATCTCTCCCAGCAGTTACCTCCAGTAAGGACTGAATGATTTATCAGCATCATCACGTAGTGTGGAGGTATTTTGGCCTAAAATTGCTTCAGCTGATTGAGCGTTGCAGGCATTTCAATCTGCTCATAAGGCCCCACCGCAGCATTTCTATCAGGCTGAGCTCTGATTGGGCCATTGCAGCTCCATGTTTTCTACTCTCTTTTCATCCATTCTGTCACACATTTGCTTGTGTGTTGGGGATTATTGTCCTGTTGATGATTCGGCCGTGGCCATTCTCCGGCTGCAGGAAGAATTAGCTCCCATTTAACTGTGAGTGCAAGTTCATGGCTGATCTGCTGATTCCAAGGTGCACCGCTTCTCTGGCTGCAAAATTTTTCATTTGATTTGGAGGTTCTGGTAACACAGAAGCTTTTTTTTTCTCCTCAGAGGATATTAGTTTCAAAATATTAAACTAACACTTATATTAACTAGATAGAAACTAATCCACTGATCAGAGATGACAGAAGCATCGGAATAAAGAAAAGAAGATTTGGGTGACAACATCAAAACAAAAGAATGATGCTAGGTTCAGGCCGCACGCAGCAGGAGCATCAAAAACGCTCATGCTGCTTCATTTTTGATGCTTCTACAAGTTTAGTTCTTACATACTGCTGAAGCATCTTTGCTGCTCTTGCTGCCTAATCAAAAAGTGGGTCTGATGCGCGTTGGGCGGAGCTACCCTATCCTTTCTTTGCTTGTAACATGGCAGCTATATTTGCTGTGATCAGTGGGTAAAAAGTAGTTAACTTAATCTGTGCAGTCAGTTATAAAAGATATAAAACAGCAAGCAACGTAGTTAGAGACATGAATAAGTGATGATTGCACTGTTTTTCCCAGTTTTCCGTCCGTCCGCGGATCTGCTTTTTTTTTCTGTCTGCCTGTGCATGCGCACTGATGTGGTTTTTTAAAGGAAAAAATGTCCAAAACGTACGAAATAGTGTGCATAACTTTTCGTACGATTTCATACGCACTCATAATGAGAATATGTAGACCTAATCCAAACTGCCGGCACCAGGATGATAAAAACGAGCATATTAATTTGGCAGGTTTCAACATTTTAAGTGAATTAAGGCGTTAGAGGAGTGATCATAGCGCTCTGCATCAGCAGCGCTGTGTCTGTCTCCCTGCCAGCTCCAGATCAGCTTCTCTGATTGGTTGATGCGGCGCAGGGAGCAGCAAGAGTTAAACTTTTCCAACTCCAGCAGCTGCTGCATTCGCAGCGCGTCACACGCCTCAGAAGCTCATGAGGCGCTGCTTCGGCTGCTCAATACGCACGGCGGGACATTTTGCTGCGCCTTGATGCGCGTCAACCATTGACTATGCATGTAAACTAGCTGCTTCTGCTTCCTCTGCTGCTTGCAGTCTGAACGTAGCATAAGCAAAAACAAAATGACTCATTTCTTCTCTTTTGTTGTTTAGGAGCTGCTGGTTTCAATCCAGCATTTTTTAGTAAAATTTGGCATTTAATGCAACAAACTCATCATATCTGAGGAGACTTTCTTTGGCAATGGCAGAAGCTTGTGTCTGTTCTCCTTGTTAAGTTTATACTTCAAAAAGCAAAGCATAAAAAGAAAGAAAGAAAGCTTCTGAATCTATATTTTAATTCCCTTTTTTAAGGAACCAAAGTCAAAGAGACCACCCACTGATATCCACATCCTTACACAGCGTCTCGTTTGATCCTATTCCCTTCAATAAAGGCTCTATGAAGAGTTTTTTCCTGACCCAATGTTTGGTCTAAACCTCACATCCTCACTTCTAACGACACAGGAAATAACAGAAGGTTTTATTTCCTCCCACTTCTACAGGTGTAATGATGCATCTTTATGCGTCTCCAATTGTGTCCAAATGTTCCCATCCTCACAACGTTAACAAGCCGCTCCTCTTTAGCAGGCGGAGTAAAAGTCGGCTGCTCTCAGCAGCTCTGCTGCCAAACTTAAGGATGATTGAGTCTATCTCTGTCAGCTCTACTTACAAATTACCTTGAAATGAGGTTTTTCATCAAACACACAGAACAAGCAGGGATGCGTTCATGTTCTTGTTTCCCATCATGTGGCTGCAGAAGATGTTTCGAATTACATTTGCAGTGATTGCATAAAATCAGCCTTAATGAATTAGAAAGCAATCAGCGTGCGTGTTTGTGTTGTTTCCAGCACTTATTCTTCCGGGTTTATAGAACTGAAACAATCAATCAGTTAGCAGTGCAGCATATGGATAGAGAGGAGTCCTGAAGCAGATGGAGGAGTGAAGACTTCCTCCCCGACCACAAAGTCCTCCTTCACCCACCCGCTCCCGTACGCCCCTCTTTTCCTCTGTCTTTTGTTTTCTCTTCGCTCCAACCAAAGCTGCAGAGACAAAATAACAGCAGGGCTGGGAAATGGAGATGTGATGCTCTTTATGCAAATCAATTCTTGCGTTGCCATTCATTTCGCTCCGAGAACCCAGAGGAGCGACAAAGGAGCGGAAAAACACAGAGAAAAAAAGCAATAGTGAAGCTAAAGGCAGGTCAGCTTTAAGCAAATATTTTCCACAAAAAAGCCAACAGTGATTTGTGACCGCCAGCTTCTAATCAGTATTCAGCCTCCAGTTGAGAGCAGAGTTACTCTTCTCACCGCTTTCAGGGACGCAACATGCAAAGATCTGCAGTTCATTAAGGCTGAGACCACGTAGACCACAGACAGGTCCTCATGGTGATGTGGATTCACCAGGTCCCCTCCATGCCCACTATAAAGGTGACTCCAGCCTGCACTGTCTAACTCACTGGGCAGGATGGCTGGGCCAGTGGAGGGCAGAGCAAACACACTGCAAAAAAGGAAAAACTAAATAAATATTTGTTTCTTGATTTGAGGAGGCCCACTGGAGAAATGATCTAGAAATAAGTAAAAATATCTTATTTACCCTTAATTTGAGCAGGTAAATGAGATAATTTGCCAATGGAATGAGTATTTTTACTCTTAAAATAAGATATTTAGATAAAATGTACTTGAAATAAGACAATGCAATTGTGTTTTCTTATTTCAAATATAAATCATCTTGTTCCATTGGCAAGTGTCTCACTCACCTCCTCAATTCAAGAAAAAAATGCACTTATTTTAAGAAAAAATTACTAGATTTCGATTTTTTTCCAGTGTACACTGCAAAAATAATCTAGAAATGATTAAAATGTCTTAAATTAAGTGTATTAAGCCTTAATTTGAGTAGGTGATCTGCCAATGGGATGAGTATTTTTACTCTTAAAATAAGATAATTAGATACAATTCACTTGAAATAAGACAATGACCTTTTTTTTCTTATTTTAAATGTAAATTGTCTTGTTCCATTGGCAAAGTGTCTCTCTTTCCTCCTTAATTCAAAAACAGATGCACTTATTTTAAGAAAAATTGACTTATCTAGATTTAGATTTTTCCAGTGTAGAGATTAATCTGCCTGGAAGAGTTTCAATCAGTATAATTGTTTGATTTGGGTTTTGTTTTTGTTTTTTCTTAATTTGAATCCAGCTAATCCACAGGAAACATTTACATCATGGTTAAATTTTATTCTTTCTCGTTAACAGAGCAACCGTCCAATCACCATGGCTCCACCTTGCCTCCTGTGCCGCCGCCTCACCGCCAGCAGCCCTCAGTGACGGCTCTGAACCAAGCCCTGAGCTCCACGCACCACGCTGGCCAGAACCTGAACTCAACCCGCCAGCTAACTCCTCCTACCGGGAGTCCGGCCCCCGTGGCCGGCCAATCACCAGCCGAGCTGCAGACCACGCCCCCCGAGAGCGTCCCGCTGCAGGACAGCTGGGTGCTGGGTAGCAATGTGCCTCTGGAAACAAGGTAATCAGGCTCAGGCCAACAGCCCTGCTGCTTGTTGAACATTGGTGTGAGCTGGAAGAACCGATGGATCTATTGGACACTATCTCATTTATTTATTCAAATTAAGGCTAAATACACTTAATTTAGGACATTTTTACTAATTTCTAAATAATTTTTCCAGTGTAGGGAAGCTTTTAACATCAAAATGTTTACAGTTTGATAAAACAAGTGAAAAAGTTTGTTCTCTTCATTAGTTCTGATGTTCTCCTGAGATGTCAGCAAAGTTTTATTCCTTCCAAGCTGACGAGCTGTCAGCGACTGCAGGCTCTACCGGAGCTGCGTTCACTAACAGGAAGCTAAGAACATCTGATTTTGATCCGACTGATACTGATACATGGCATAGATGTGAAACTAGCGTATCCGCCATGATCTAATCCAAGCATGACTGTTTTTTTCCGTTTTAAACAAAACAGTCTAAATAATTTTCTACATTTTTTATTGTAGTGTCAGTGAAGCTTTGGTGTTTTTTTCCAGAAGCTAATTTAATATTAGAGCTCGTCTCCGAGATGGTACCGGTGGGGGAGGTGCATGCTGGGAAGGGTGTGACCCTGCACTGTAAAAACCCGACCCTCTGAACAAATGCTGAGAAGAGAGTAAACACTCAGACAGGGAGGCTGGAGTCTCTGTTTGATTGGAGATCTTTCCTAATCTCTTAATAGAATTTTAACTGCAGTAAAAGTCCTCAAACCAGCTCACCTCGGCAGACAGACGGCTTGGTTCAGGGCCCTCTGGGTTACCCAGCAGCGCTCTCAGGCAGCCAGTTAAAACCTCTCATTGTTCAGTCGGCTGATGGAAACCACGCCTCTGTTCAGAGCTCGGACTAAACAGCAGCGTTTGGGCGAACACATGGAGGGTCTGCTCTGCCAGACAGGACAAAGTCCACCCTTATCACAGACTTAGGAGCCCTAAGGAATGAAAAGTCAAACAGCTCAATGGATTAATGTTAACAGAGAGGCTTCCAGGTTCATAATAACCCAAAGCTCTGAGAGATTTGTTCTGCAGCAATCTTTGATTTAACAGACAACAGGTTTAATGTCATCCTCCCGTCTGACGGAGCTGAGAGTCCATCAGTCAAACATGCCCTGGGCTGGATCATTCTTGTTCAACGTCAGTTTGTAGTTTAATATTTAAAGGTTTAGCTAAAAAGAGCAGTCTACATAGCTGGATCCGACCTGAGCCTCAGATTCAATCCGATTCAGTTTATTTCTGTACAACCAATTCAAAACACGGAATACAGAGACATTTCAAGCAGACCATCCAGCCGAATTGGATCAAAGTTTTCTAAGGAGAATCAGCTGATTGCATCAA